CCCCCCCCCCACTGCCAATTTCGAGTCATTAACGAGGCCACGCCCAAGACCAAGCTTTTCCTCCCACTTGTATGACTGCTTGTAAGTTACTTTTTATCCAGACCGCTTCTGTATGACGTTTCTATCCTTATATCTTATCAGAATCTTGTATGCGCTTCCATGACAATTCTTTTTCTCGGGTTACCAATCCCCTCGAATTTGGAGAACATTCTTTCATAGCTGAAGCCAACTGCAGAACTATCTGTTACGCGAAAATGTGTAATCAATTCAGATAACCAAGAATTTTAGAACAATTTTTCAATTATTACTCCCACCTTTGGCAAGACCATATCTACTCACAACCATTCCCTGAACAGAATACTAATGTTATGTTATGCACGGCAAAATGGTTGTGTTCATTTCAAAGTCTCTTTACTGGAGCTTCACAGAACTGATGCTTAACTCTGTAGTCACAAGGCAAAACATTTTCTCATCCCAGGCTATATGATATGCCCTATCAATACAATCCCCCTCAGACGAACGACCACGNTTTATTTCGAGGATACGGTATAACAAGATACATTGGGCTATTGGGATATGTTTTCGTGCTCAAGAATGGTTACTTCCTTCTCGACAAACTCCCTTGAGCGCTACATTATCAAACATTCCCTTTGTTACAGTCGATGTGGATTAATTCTGGACAGTGTGTGTATCGATTTTCTTGCGGGTTTCATTTTCTCTCTTCGTCTCATACAATTGCCAGCAAGCCAGCCAGTCTTTGCTGTACGCACAAATCAGTGTATCGCATATGGCAAAGCAACATGGTCTCGTTTGCATGGAACTCTCAACTGGGACCGTTTCGTTTCGACTTGAGCAATACGGAACACGGACAGGAGGAAAAATATTCCCTGTTCAAATATCCGAATATATGTAGATTGAATGGCATGAAATTTAGTTCGTCGGATGTAATCAAAAAGTTTGAAGATGGAAACCACGTTTCACGTACAGTTCACGTACTGGAAAAGTATTTGGATTGAAATGTTAAAACAGGGTAATAAACATAATCATAATAAATGTCCGATTGATGCATTAAGAACACAATAGTGTGAAATTTTATGAGTTCACGTGATTCAGTCAAGGAGTTCTTGTTCGTGTGTCGTTTCTTTTTTTCTTTTCTCTTGTGATTCTGAAATTCACTTCAGTGAATATGAAAACTATTCATTACACCCAGAGGCGGGGAGGGGAGGAGGGGGGACCGAGATTGTGCTCTTTCGTAATCAGGACGTAGAACCGGAAAATTCCTTTGCAGAAGACAACATAATTTATTTGGAGGTACCGACCAGTCGGGATCGGAGAAAACGTTGTTGACGAGCGAAATGTTTCCATGGTTCAGACCATTTAAACCACTTGCTGAACGAAATGGGGTGAGGTAGAGAATGGGAGCTAAATCTATCTCGGATCCTCTTCCTATATGTGGACAAAACCATGTGATTCTACTGCATTCACATATGACAGGATTCATTCTCGGTTTGAGAATTTAGCTGACTGACATTGTGCTTCCATAGACACAGGTCCGAATCCCTCGATGGGACTAGAGGCCTTCGAGGGGTTATTTAACTTGTCAGTGATAATGCGAGATAGGTGGCTATCAAAAATATGAATGAAAGCAAAAATGATGCATTTAGGTTAACTACATTTCTCACACATCGTGTGAATAATTCTTTTTTTTTCTAAACACTCTTACCTGCTCCACTCGCCCTCCCGCGGCTGGCTCAATGATTTCTCGTCTTCTCAGTTTTCTTCGTAAATGATTGTCTGTCTACCCTTTACTACTGAAAACGTTGTGTTTTCTTTCGGCAAAACCCACTGTTCATTGCGTTAGGTACTCTTCAAACCAGAGGGAGAGGGAGCGCTCTATCATTGGTCATTGGTCGACTTTTGGCGAGGAATTTTTATAAAATGCAGCGATGCTTTTGTGAAAAGCTCGAAGTCGTAAAATGAATTTTGTGAAGCCAGACAGACCAAATTTAGCAGCAGATAAAGCCATGCAAACAGACAAAAGATGATTCTGTGCTAACTAACTGTCTGAAACAGGCTGTCAGGGGTCTCGAACACTATTTTGACCGCTAGAGAGGGGGGTGGAGAAACAGCGGATGATTTATGTTCACTAGTTGCCCAACACAATGTTGGAAGAAATGTCTGGTAGGTAAAAGAAAATGCAACTACGCCGTTCGGGATCCGTATTGATTTTTTTGCGAGTAAATCCATAAAACAAATTGCCGCGCACAATCTTTACAAGAACGTCTGTTGCAAAAATATTGATTAATCTTGTCACAAGTCGGAAAATAGTGATTGATCCCTTTCCGGAATGCATCTCATCCTTCTACGTGTCAAACAAAAAAGATACCCTTCAGCTCATTTGGAACAAAATCACGAGGAAATACTCAAGAGGGAATTTTGCAATAATGCGATTACACCATCATGCTTCTCGGCTATAACACATGAAAGACAGATAAAATGACCATAAATCATGATGAAAAACAAGTTGTCCAGTTTCAAAAGGAGGCTATAACTGTTGTTCAATCCGATCAGAGTATGAATGTGGAACATGTCGCCCAATAATTCATGTTACAGCTGGAATCGATCCGGCGATTGCCACTCAACGATCCAAAAAATAGCAAATCCGAATCAAAGTAATCCTAACATCTTTGCCTACTTTCATCTGTTTGGTAAAAACAAATCGATTTCTTAGGACATAAATCGCAAGAATAGGGAGGAGTTAAAATTGCACACCTACTGCCGGGTTACAGTGACCCTTAGATGGTTTGAATCCACACGGGAAGTGATTCACTAATTCGAACGAAAGCGTCTGATTAAATGTTTTTATACAATTACATCACATTTCGCATACACCCAACAATTTGTATTTATGACTGCTTCTAGTAACGTGGAATGCATCTCAGGGCCAAGATACGTAGAAACAACGAGTTGATGTCATGAGTCGTACAGAAGGCTATCAGAAATCTTTAAGGTCAATCCATTTCAATAATTTAACTGATGGTTCTACTTCAGTTTGAACAATTTAACGAATAAGTTGTTGCTGACATACGTAAAACTCACCAAGGAGGGTAAACCTTTCTCCTTAAATTGAACGTTACACCGTAGTGAGATGAATAGCAGACGCGAGATGGAGCCTCANAGACGCGAGATGGAGCCTCATAATCACAAAGACCTGCTGCTCAGTGACTGAAACCAGTAACTTACGCCCTGGAACTTGGAGAGGCGAACCACACTAGATATCTCTAGGTGGGGCACGGTATTAAACCGAACGAGAGGAAAGTTGCCTACCATCTAAGTTGGGTGATGGAGCTGGGGCTTGAACCTCGGATTATAGAATCTAAAGCACACCGGTGGCAGCGATCAAACCGCAGCGTCATCACCACCCACGTACCCATGTGCACAAAGCCGTCCGTGATTACCGTTCCTAACTCTGTTCTCGATATGCTACTTGCTGTAGACAAAGAATGGCTATTATTAGGCTAAGTAGTGCGTGAATGACTAAAAATGCGATATGTACATGAGCGCTCAATTCGTTTGCAAACTGGAATTGGATAATAAATCATTAGGCTCGGTTTTGGGGTCAGCGTTTAGCTTAAAAGGCAAAATTATCATTCAGACAACGCAACACGACTGTCCTTAAACGCTATTCAGCATCCATTTTACCTCTTTCGTTCTTTGTTCGAAGATTTATGTACAACAGAACTGCGCACCATCTTGGTTACCACGATTACAATCAGGTTCTTTTCAGGAAGTGCAAATACTCGGAACGAACCGTTTTCTTGCGTTCCGGCTCCGCTGATTGCAATGTAATTAATGGTTGCTGTTATTCTTGTCAACAGTCGCCAAACAAAGAAACACGCTCTCGGCAGATCACAGAAACACACACACGATTCAGTTAGGTAACGTGGTACCCAAAAAACACTGTCTCCGTCGTACAGAACAGATGGCCCAGTAAGTTTCTCGGTGCCCAAAACAGAGAAACACGAAATGGTTTAGTCGCCCATTTTTAGTGTTACGCAATGAGAAAAGCAAGTCGGGTCAACATCTGGTAAACGGGAAGCAAAACCTCAATGGATGCCACATCTATCTGAGATAATCTAAGCATAGACGTATGCCTATGAATGAGGGGAGTGAAAACATTCTACTCTACAACTCTTCAGCATTCAAGCGAAGCACACGTACACAGTTATACAGGTGAAATCACGTTGACTCTGTTTAAGCTGTCAGCACGGAGAACGACACCAGATGATTGCCGCATTCTAGCTTACTGAATGTTGAGGACCGTGAAAATAAACAATCTGCCTCATTTTTCAGCGGTGGCGTACTTTTCTAATTTTATTTTAACTGTGTAGCTGCACGCCGGAAATGAAACATGGATTTATCAAGAGACACTTGAAAGTGTAAAGTTGAGAATCCTTGCAAATTTTGTTTCAACCGTGTTGCTCAAAAATATATCCACTGTACTGGGGTTTGGACTGGAATCGTTCCAAAATTTAGCTGGTCGATTAGGAAAGACGGAGGGTGAATATTTGGGCAACATTTTGATTGCTCATCGGCAGCTGTCACGAACAGCTTCTTTACTCCTAACGATGATGAAAGTCCACGGATAACGATATTCCGGCGGTATCAAATAGATCAACGTTTCCAATTTAGAGTATCAAGCTATGATTAGCCCATTCAATTGTTCAGACGCACCAGGCACTCTTGATGGTCTAGGGTGTGTGTTTCGCTCCTTGGGCGATAGTTCATTCCTCACGAGGTAAATGCATTCAAAATGCAATGGAAACGTTTTGTGATAACCGACAAAGAGCACTAGACAGCTATCTTGTCCTGTTTGGGGCTCTTCGGCAGTGAGCGTACTTTTTACATGTGGCTAATCCGAAAATTCGCCGTCTAAATTGATTGAGCCATTCGCACAAGGTGATGACCTTCGACTGTGTAGCTTAGGCCTATGGGTTTGACGTCCCAACCCGCATTCAACTCGCATTTACCTGGTGGGGAAGCAATGATCTCCCAAGGAAGGAAACCCACACCCAAGATAGTCATCAGTGCCTGGTGCATGTCTGAAAAACCTAATGGGTTAATCGGTCTCAAAATACTATTTATTCATTTGGCGTACGCCACCAACTCCGTCCTCATGAAACCACGTAGACTGCTTCAGAGCATATTGATTGGGCAATGATGATCCGGAATTGATCGATTCTGCTTTGGTTAGTTAACGAGGGAACACTAACGAAAAGAGTTCAACACGCACCCTGTCCCCCCCTCGCTCCTCGGCTCCACTCGTATACACACTTTTATTCGCAGTTAGTCACGTGTGAGCTTTGATCGAACCGGAGAAATTCAAATAACACATTCTCGCGTGTTCGTTGATCTTCGCAATTGGCTTTGCAAACGTTTCATCACCAGCTGAGGTGCCATCTTCAGCAATGAAGATCTCAACCCCGGACCGGTGACTGTTTGATCTGACCAGGCCTATGGATGAATCTCTGCGAGCAGTTATTCGTCTCGAACCTATGTTCTGATATTTCAATAAGTATGCTCGAGAGCTTACCGGATTTCAACTACTGTTTTCGATATTTTGAAAATTTCATCCAATTTCATGGGTTCTGCACATGGTCCTGTTTGTGTGTGTGTGTGTGATTGTTTGCGCTTACCGCTAACCTCAAACGGTCTCATCCGCCATGATTGCTTGGAATCAGAATTGTTCACGATCGATTGAATTGCTCAGTGAAAACTATCGTTTCGGAATAATGGAACATAGATGTGTGATATAACCCAGCTAGTCATTGGATTGGATTCACCAGTAGATAAACTTTCGAATATTTTCGAGATAAATATACAGGGATGCAGTACAATAGTGCCATAGTTACGTTTGGAGTGTGTTGTTCAATCGGAAATCTGAACACCGGTATTTTTGTTAGTTTGTTACTGTTACACTTCAAAAAAGAAAACATGCGCTAAGTTAGCACTGTTCAGGTCGAGCTATTCACAGATATTATAGAATGTACTAGAGGGTCTGAATTTTTCATCTCGTCTGATGATTTTTCTCGCTATTGAAACCTTCAAAATCGTTTTAAATCAAACAGGGAATAAGCTGTGGTTGGTTAGGTTCGATCGATGGGTGTGACCTTGATCAGGATCTGATCAATATATTGTGGGCTAAGTCTATATGGCGAAATAAACAATGTAAACCGCAGGTGCAGATGCATTACAAGGTTTAACATATGGAGATTTAATTATTGAATGAAGATTCTCCACTCCTTTTCATTTGAAAATGACAGAACAGATGAACCTTAGATACCATTTGACGATGAAAGAAAAGACAGCATAGCAGTCGGCCCGTTACCTACACTTCACCCGCTCCCCTGTTCTGTGTCCCCTCACAAAGTAAATCGGTAAACAACACGTGTCAATCACCCCGTGCACGGTCCATGTACTGGGCAATGAAGTCGGTAATAAACAATCCAAAAAATTAGTTCGACCCGGACCGGCAGTATTCACCCGTGAGACCAGTACGGACTCGGCCACTCTGTGTACTTGCTCGTTTCACTTTTGTCTGACAGTTGGGGATGAGAATTGGGGCACCAGTCCCGGGTTTTGTTTTCCTGGGAGAAAAGTTTCCGAATTCATTTGCTTTTAGTGCGTCTATAGAAAAGACAGACACTATCCCGGGGAGAATTTAATGCGCTCCAGTGTGTCGTTTCTGTCGCTATTGTGTCACACAGCTGTTGATTGTCAATATCTACATAGCGGGATGAATTTGGATTACTGGCGAAGTATACATCCTACCAAGAACTAAGAAAAAGCGATTTATTGACCTATTTAATGAATTCATGAATAATCTGCTGACTGAATCTTCTCTCCACGGGTACCGGATCCAAATTTGCAACGGATGCGGTTGAAGAAATTGTGTGTTTGGCTCATAGTGTTATAACTCCACAAAACGGTACTCGGTCGAGGGAAGTTGTTTATTGCAGATAACAGTTAGGGTATCATTAATTGAGCACACATTTCACATAAATCGTATTCGAAACATATCATCGTAGTTTCTGGTAGCACACTGGGAAGTACACGTAGCAGCCGGTAGTTAGTCTTTGAGACATAGCGCTTTTCCCTCGATGGTCTTATTAATTTTTGATCGTTCAAAGAAACCACTACCTATTTTGCATATTACTCACAAATGTGAGTAGTATCTCACGACAATAGTATTAGATCCTTATGGGAATGTTTGGATTAGCCACAACGAGAGAAAACCAAAAAACAATAATTTTCGGTTAACGACATTCTGACCCTCTTGGAAGGCCCTTTTCGAGTCAATTGACAAGCGCGTCGACGCCGCCTACGCTTTGTACGCGCACGCTCTATCAGCTGAGCTACGAGACCACACCGATAGCACTGATCTTTTTACATTCGTATTACCCGTCCAACTTACAGACGCATATGGCATCTACTAGTTGGCATGTAAGCTTAATGCCCCGACAGATTCTCCTTAGAATTCACCGGATTCCACCGAATGAACATCTAACACAAGGTTAGTTGTGAGACTCCGGTGAATTCTAAGGAAAACTGGTCGGGGCAGTCAACTTACATGCTACTTGATGGATGCCAAATGCCTCCATGAGTTGGATGGGTAATTCGAATGTGAAAAGATCAGTACTATCGGTGTGGCCTCGTAGCTGAGCTCGTAGAGCGTGTGCATACAAAGTGTAGGCGGCGTCCAGGAGTGGGCTCGAATCCCACCGAGGCTACTGAACTTTTCACAATCGCCATACAAAACTTCAAATCTACCAAACAACCATTTACACGATTAACAAGCGAATATTAAACAAAAACTGCCAAAGAAACCGTATCCAATGGAGGTGCTTTTGATTGGTCTGGGGGAAGAAGAAATGAGTTGGTGTGTATGTGGTAATAAATGAGAGCATGGAGGTTGTGACTAATACATGAGGTCGAAGAGCTGAGGATGACGTCATAGTCGATCGGAGATTAGTCTGTGAGCAGTTTTATGGTGTGGTGAGATTTAATGTTGTGTCCTTATGCATGGGGGGGGGTATGTGAGCGGTTGGCTGTACAAGTGGCATCAAGCCAGTGAACTGATAATTGGGTCCCGTCCGATCGATTGACTCAAAGTGCATCGCTGTTGATGTACAATGACTCAGTAATGAATGGTTCCCTATATGACCTGAAACCTTGTTTCAGAATGATCGGATTTTCAAAGTTTATAGAGTGTCCCTCAGAAATGGAATGCAGGGCAATAGCTGAGTCCCTCGCAAGGGTCCTAAGCTCCGATGCATTTCTTGGAGAGTGTTTGGATTTCCTGTCATGTTCGGCTACCCGTCCCTTTAGTTGTCGATTTGGTTGACCAAGGTACGTGGCTGTACACTGTTTACATCTTATCTTGTAAATACGATTTGATTGATCAGCTTTTGGTCGTCTGTCCTTAAGTCGCATTAAGAGTGAATGAAGGGTGTTGGTGGTCCGAAATGAGACCCATCTGTTTAAATATTCGTTGGATGTCTTCTGGCGTATTGCGGCTACAAGGTATGAAACTAAATGTAATCCAATCGGTCGTTTTAATTTTAGGTCCTGTGGATCTTTTTGGGTTTTCTTCTTTTAGTTTTCTCGTTGTAGCTAATCCAAACATTCCTACATAGATCTGATACTAGTTCTTTTCACCTATTTATGAGCAAATGAGTGACATTTTAAGTGATAATCGCACTTTTTGACGAATGATTCGTGCTGCTTGCTGAGATGGTAGAATGTTTTTCAGGTGACGGAACCCGTTGAAATAATGTGACAATGTGAGATGTATTGAAAACTGGTTTGTCTAGGCCAAAGTGACTGAATTCATTTTTGCCTGTTCGTTGAGCTTGTGGACGGTTCATCTGTAGTAGTAGTTGAAGTACGCACAAATCACGAAATATGAATCGCGTATCAGAAATAACGGACGCCACGTAAGCACTGAATCACATTAGTACTAACTAACACGACAGTATCCCACGTAACCGAGACGCGAGACGAAGGCCACAGAAATAGCAGTTCGTATATTGAACGAAATCATGCGGGTTAAATAATATGTTAGAACCGAGAGAAGACAAATACTGCGAAATGTTAACATTTCTTTTAATCTCTTCAGTCGCTAAAACGGCAAACAATCTGGTATTTATGCAAGCAAGTTCTGATAACTACAGTGGGTAAACGGACAATAGTCAGGGAAGCGGAGGAGAGGCTGGAGTGGGAAATAAGTTCCGTGGCAGTCTGACTGATTGTGTAAGAAAATTTTGTGCGCACAAGATTGGGTTACGTAACTTGATTATCATCGCCTCGCCAAATGCCAAAATCCTGGAGTTCATGTTACGTAATAACAGCTTGAACGACATTTGTGGGTCAACGATGTGTCCAATTGCCATGAGATATTTGGTGATTAATGACCCTGGATTGCTCTTATCGATTTAACCTCTAAGGCCTTGTTGCATCATCGATTGTGCTGATCATTTGGGGATGTATTCAGACATTCACTGTGCCAGGGGCCAATTCGTTCGGCCGATGTAAGTGTTACCGTAGCTGAAGGTGAACTGGCAGACGATAGGTGAAGCAGAATTGTACGGCTGGTTCTGTTTTCAATTGTCTAAACATAGTACCTGGGTATACGGTATCAATCGAAGCTGTGCGGAAGAAACCGTTCGACATAATGCCACCTCCAGCTTTTGACGCACATCATTTATTATGTGATCACCTTTGAAGGCGAGTCTGAGGAAGAAGCTGTTCTTCGATGCTTCGCAGACGGGATCAAACGGTGTCTTTCGTCTGCTATGCTCATCAATAAATTTCTCTGGATAACCGCTATCCAGTAGGGTCTTTCGCAGAAAGTCCTCTTCTTCTTGAGAAGTGTCAGAGTAGACGGATCTTAGATGGATCTCTTTTTAAATATAAAACTCAGGAGGCGATCAGATGGAACCTTGCAAAGATCCGTCTACCGGAAAACTACATGGAGTGGACGATACTTACAATTCGCCAGTTTCTCTCCTGTAGCACACAAAAGAGGTCCGGTGAAGACTCTGTTCCATCGTGGCAAGAATATTTGTGGAGGAGTGTTCTTCGCTATAAAACCACTGTGTAGTGACAAAGCTTTCATTCAATCATGGCCTTGTTTCCTTATTATCTGTTACACATTTTGGCAAGAAAAGCTATATCCTTCTGTTTCTGTGTTTAAACCAAAAATGCCGCACATTGACAAGTGAAGTCTTATTCCGGCTTACACTTTGAACTATTTAGAATTTTGCAATAACTGTTAAGGCATTATGTCAGTTTGCTGTCATGGGACAAGTTGGTTTTTAATTTGCTTGGCTTATAGCATGTATTCATTGGTAATAAATATAACAATATGCACAGTATTACTGATGGTAATTACCAATTAAAAATAACCGAATGCTCAAATTATTTCAGCAAAACTGGGGAAAATTCTTTTCCTCATCTTGACATCTTTTGTTATACGGTCTTGATATCCGCACCAGTATTAAATAGTCATTTTGAGTGGCAAGCCCCAATGTCCCGCCCTCTGAAGCACAAATAACCAACCACATCAACAAGGCACACTATCCACGGAAAGATCCAGCTTGAATGCCAGTGTAGCCATGTTTGGTATGGGTTTGCACCTTTAAACTGTAAAATTCTACTACAAGACTGGATTGGTTCAGCACCGAGTCTCACTCTAACTGGGAGAGTAATATAAGAAGTGGATAAGTCTTTTTATTTGGGCAGCTACATCTCATCCGGTGTCAGATCGCATACAAAAGGCTCGGGTGGCATTTGCCAACCTAGGACATCTATGGCTCCGTCGCGACATCCGGCTGTCTGTCTGTGAAAGCGCATGAAGGTGTGAAACCCCTAGTCAGGAGTCTGGGTCACATAGGTCCTGTTAGGCCCCCTGGATGGGGATCTCGGGATGATCGTAATCGAGGGTTAGAGACACTGAGAGATATGGCTAAATGTTTTAAACAGCGACGTTCGTGCATCTTCTCAATTTCTGTGCAACCTTAGTCCACTGAAATTCTCAATTTTCTCTTCGATCCTACTTTCCACCTTCTTGTTTTCCTCCTATCGCTCATCCAAATGGGCAGCCCAAAAAAGCAGCCAAAAGCGACGCACGGAAATGCATGCTGAATGGTTGTTCAAAGTGAAACTGAAACACTAACCATGGACGAAAGTGGAATCATTTCTGTGTAGATCCACCCCGTAGTGCAAATCTAACGTGAGCTGGAAGCTAAGAATAGCTGAACAGCTGTTTCGACCTGGTTCGCTCTAATCAGCAGTGCACAAATCCATCGACCCAAATGGGAATCGCGAACCGGGGACCTCACAGGTAGATCGCAAGCGTACCCGCCCACTCGAACACCGGGTGACTGATCAGACCTTTTCTCATTTTCAATATACATGATGTAGTACAATCCATCTTTACGAGCTGGTCGCTCGCATTGCACTTAGTTCATCTCAGTACTTGTCTCCAAGGTTATGAGTCGGTAGTGAAAGTTTCTCCATCTGTCAAAATAGACCCGGTATCAATCGAGTTTGACGACTCGTTTGAAGGTGATAAGGAATCAATTCGCTAAACCGTAACTTTATTGTTGCATCGTTTTGAAGAAAGTGTTCATTCTATAGACTGAATGGTTTAAGTCAATTGTTCAAAAAACATTTCAAATCGATCCAACTAATTATCAGTATCACAACAGAAATGAAATAACTAATCACCATTATTTATGTAGGGAATTTACTCAAACACAAGACTAATTATACAATTAAGCAGAAAAACTATGTGGCTATTAGAATATTCAAACGTAAATAAAAGTCGCTGAAGCCAATTAGAGCGTTTTCGCTTAATGGCATTGTGACGAGTATATCCATTGCAGGCGGTAGATTGAAATGTTATACGTACGCAACCGATGAGAGTATACGAAATGAATTTTTCTCACAGTGTTTGTCTTTTGATTCATCTGTGCAAATGCATTACGGGATCCAAATGTTTCCGATTGAAAAAGCCGTGATAAAACTGAGTCGAACTGCTCAATCATAGGGGGTGAGACGGACAAGTCATAGAATTCGTGTCTTACTCACAGTGATTCTTCGTACCGGTTTCTTCCATGTTAATTTTCACCAAGGTAAAATTTACCAGCACAACTGGGACCTACAACTGACTGTGACTGGATTGATTACTTGATTGACTGGCAGATGCTGCCTGCTACCACCCACGCACGGATTCACGTCATATGGACTAACTCTATTGCAATATCGATCCTGTGCAGCCAGTCAGTATTGAACTGTCCACGAAGATTGATTCGTTGACTGTTCGAATGCCTGCTTCACGGCATTCGGATGTCGTGTGACGCTTGAGCCCTGTATGTCAGCCCGTCTGCCTGCTGACTACGTGTTGCTCGCTTCTGCTTGCTCACCGGCCCACGGACCGGTCATGTGTGAGCCTACCACAAAAAGCTTACTGCTTACTTCACGATATGCTTATTCACCTAATTAGCCCGGAAACAAAAAACACGAAATAAGCAGTGCGGAAAAAAGTGGGTCATCCTGTTGTACAAACGATCGGTCGTGTCCCGAAATATAATCAGAGAAGGAGAGAGTATCGCAAAATTCGGAGCTACATGTTTTTGTTATGTTTGTATTTGTATAGACTTTTGCATGGGCAAATGTCCGCACATCAGTCAAAAATTACTCTCTGGATAAACCAGATAGGAATGAACTCAGTACAAACGAGAACAGACTGCTTGACGAATTTGATTGGTAGTGTTTGCCCTATCTTCCAAACCCGTAGATCGCACAACGCCTCAATTTCAACATGTTTTAATTCCAACTTATTATGTATTTGTATTTTAATAACGTGTGTAAGCATACATGCTTACACTTCAGTTAAAAATGCGCCCCGTTTGTCACACGGAATAAGGAGTACAGTCTCATAAAAAATGCAACGGGAACAATGTCACTGAAGTTTGTTCCATGTACAGAACTTCCGACGTAGCTCACTAGCTATCTGTTTCTTTTTGGTAAGGAGTCGGACCAGATAGGCTAGAGGGGAATTTTTTCTTACAAGGGAATAGATGCCAAAAGGAGGGGCGTGTGGACAGATGGGAACAACAAGATGATAGGTCGAGATGCAGTGGATGGATAGAGTCATCTAGAACCTTATTGGTAAATTTGACACCGGAGTTGATGTGACCATTATTGAGTTCTGTGATTATTGAATCGATTGAGATTAATTAGGCACGACGGATTATCATCAAACCACGACAAATAGTCTCCAATTCTTGATATATGAAAGACCGGGAAACACTATTGAGGTGTCTTAAAGATGAGTGTGGAAAATGTATGTGAATTACTCAAGTTATCCAAACGGGAGTACATTCGGACCTATTGAATTAGTTGGAAATCAATGCGGAATTTGGTGATAGTTTGGCGCATTACCACACAATGAACAAAACTTAGACTGGATCTTATGCAATCAGCAGACAAAATACTACTACGGACACGCTTTTTGCGTTGTAATCTCAGCCCTATTTCTTGCCAGACTTATGTAATTTATGTGTTTTATTTATTCGTCTGAAGCGCACGTCACTTGTAATCCAAGCGTGACAAAGTCTTTAAAGCGAATCTTTCACTCCGCCTATTGATCGCTGCTATTCCACGTTTCAGGTATGCTGTAACCGAACTGCTGGAAACGGAGAGGGAGTATTGCAAGGCGATCAAACCCCTAGCGGATTTGCTCAATCGCTTACAGATGGAACTTGTTATTCCTTCAGATGGTGGACCTGAGTCCACTGTCCAACTACCAAACGCAGTTTGTAACAGTATCCAAGGGCTTCGGACAAGTTTGCGGGATATGATGAGCTTCAGTGAGAGGTGAGTTGTCCTGACTGGGATAATAAGAACGAACAATTCAAATTTCTTGCTTCTGACACGCTATTCTTCCAAATTCCTCTGCACACAACATCCTCAGCTCATCCAGACAACCACCCACACACACACACATACACACACAGGGAAGGCACCCATAATCGAGTTTCGCTCTCAATAGAGATCATCCGTGGCTTCATTTCATTCTGAGTTCCGTACACTTTCGCTGGGAACATAAGTGTGGAAAACACTTCATATCAAACGTAACCGGAAATTAATTACGGATATATAAGTATTGGCTTCAATGATGCACAGAGTCAATACCACCATGGGAACGGAGAGAGAAACAACTAGACGTCTTCCATATATAAAGAAAACCCGAACACACAATTAGATATGGTATGAAAGTTTGCAATCATATTTGCTTACACTTCCACGTATCAATTGGGACAGGTTTTGACTTCCCGTGTCCCTCTTATGTAGTTGACTGAATAGGCTAAGGGTGGTGAGGGACTATGAAGTCTGGAGAACGCTGATAGTGAGGCGGTACCTCATTTATCCAAAACCACTATACACTTAAGCATGAATTGTGCTCATCCACTGTGCTCAAGGTGTGATGTGAAAGAAAATGCTTTCGAATATAGACTTCAATCTCTTTCCGTCTGGGCCGGGGAAGGGGGTGCAAATGAAACGGCTTACACCAGGAAGAGATTTGATTGCGTAAAGCTTCACTATCTCCATCCTTTCGGTTCTCAAAGCTTGAATTGTATAGGAAATAAATTGTGAACAGTGATCCCTGCAACTTGTCGCTCTCGGCCGGCAGAAAGAGTAATGATTCTGTTGGTTTTTCTCGTCCTCTAGCTAACTTGAGTGTAGATAAATGACGACACATGTTCAAGTGCCACAGAAAGTTCCGTATATTTAATGAGTTTATGCACATGAAGCAGTTCAGATCGAATGCACTTCCATTGCTGAAACGGCATCGAAGACGAGATGTACCTTCCCAACCAGGTATGTTGTATTCTATAGCATGGATGACTTATTGACTTTTTTAGTTACCCTCGACTTGAATTATTCCGCTTAGCACTGGACTGAATTAGTAGTGTCAGCAAGAGATTTGGAATACGTTTTACCCTCAGCGAATGCTTGGGGGCTGGGGGAAGCTTTCTAATCGATTCTTTGTCACGTGAGCTACACGTGGAGACTACTAATTTAAGTAAGCTTGAGGGAAATTGATCTGAAACAGAATATATTTCACTTATTTATGAGTAGTGGCGTGGAACAATAAATATTGATTTAAGCTAACCATCCTTCAGACTTCGGCTTCACGCACAATCACCTGTTCTTCCAGTCAACCATACCCTGAAAGTACTAGACTCAAGGTTCCCTCTTACTAGAGCTCATCAGTAGTGCCTATTCATCATCTCGTCTGAGCTTTGAACTCCGGACCCATCTCATGGAAGGCGTGTATGGTACCATTGTACCAATCAACTCTTGCCAGGGCTGAGCCAAACTGTTAATTCACGTTTTTTCAAGTGTCGTCTTCACTGATGGTCAGTCAGATTATTTGGGTCCGACAGCAACGAAGGGTGGCACAGTTGATTATCCATTATTCTCAAACGAAAGCCTCCCACCAAGTCAGGAATTCCATGGACTGACTTACCGCAAATCCACTATGCTCGATTGGCAGCAAATCGTGATTAACTCACAGTTACGTGCGTTGAGTTAAGATGCTTGATCACGAAGTCTGAGAAGGATGGCCAGTTCAATTCAATCTATTCCGTTAATGCAAACTTTTATTTTATAACTGCATCCTAAAGAACATATTACGATCATTTCTGTAGCCGAAACAAAGTGAGCTTATGAATTTAAGTACTACCGTGTCTCGGGGTGCAGGGGAAAATGTGCAATTCACAACGTGGGCCAGTTCTATTCTCGCCTTAACTGTCAATCCAGTCCCTCACTTTAGACATGCGATTTTACTGGAGTAGCCAATCATATCAACAGCCAATAAAGTAGGCGTGATATGAAAGCAGACAACAGCGAAGCTTTCAGTATCAAGTTTGGGCCATTTATGGTAGGACGTGAACAGTAAAACCCGATCAGATTACTGTTTCTTACGTTTGATATAGTTCAGTTCATTTTTATGTTTGACCAACAGGTGATTACCGTGCCACTCAATACTCTTCACTGTAGTGATTGCAGTACGCACTGATCACGAAATATGAATCGCTATCAGAAATCACGAAGGTCACGTAAGCACTGAATCACACTAGTATTAACTAACACGACAGTACCCCACGTAACCGAGACGTGAGGAAAAGCCTACAGGAATAACAGTTCGTTTATTAAAAGAAATCATAGGTATTGAATAATATGTACAAAACAAGTCTATTGGTCCTCCAAGCCTCTGCCAATAGCGTTCTGGTATTTCTGGCGTCGTGCAGCTTCTGTCTGGGTCGCACGGCTTCTGATTGGTTGGTAAAAACGACCTATGGTCTGTAGTCCACAAGCTGTGACACGTACGCGCATTGCTGACGTCACATGAGAAGCGTGATTCATTACAGTTGTCCGAAAACTGTAACGTGTCGCCCCGTGGTATGCGTCATCTGGTAGGCTAGGATCACTACAATCATTCCCACGGTTAAAGTAGATTATCTTCCCCTGGTGCGTCAACGCAACAATGTGAAATGATGGTTTTTCATCTGCTAGTGTAAATTCTATCGACCTGTTAATTTCACAGACCATGCCTAGTTGTCCGATATTCAATATCCGGTAGTGTCAGACACATTCTTCAGTCATATTTGTGATACTTAAACCCGTGGGAAGGGGGACTTTAGTTACACAGGACGCCATGATACTCTAAAGATCAAAGTGCAATCACAATAACAAAGTGAACAATCTATTTTCAGGGTGAATGCGATCAGTTAGACAACTGCTATGGGGTACTTAGAAGTGTTGAAATACTCAAGGACATGTGGAACCAGGAATGTCAGATAGAATGTGGAATTGTCGTAGCTCGGAATGCGAATGTCAATTTTCACGGGTCTCGGAGTTGGAAGTATGGGTTCTGGTCTAGACAACATGATCCTCACCAGTGTGACATTGGGTACGTTACTGTGGACCAACTTTGGCCAAGCGTGATTGCCCTATTCTCCCACTTGCGACCCAGTTTATTGGTGCAGCACGTGATTTGCCACCACAGGACGAGAGTGACCACTCAACGTAAGCGAACAAAAATGCCANCCCCCCCCCTCACCTCACCCCACCCCACCCCACCCGCATTAAGCCGCTCATCACAGTATGGTGGTACGTAACGAATAAATGTGACGCAATTTCCCTCTATTGATTCATTTAATGATTCGTTTATCGTCACCTATCTTTTTGCGTCCCTATCTCTCTCTCTCTCTCTCTCTCTCTCTCTCTCTCGTTCAGAATACTTTTAGACCAGCTAACCAATTGTCTTGTGAATCCCCAACAAACAGCCGAATGCTTCACCAAACATGTAAGTGTCTCTGAGAAAGCTCTTCTGCTCTTCCTATTCAAGTACGCGCACACACACACACACACCATTTGTTGCATGCAACTTTCAGCTTTCAGTGTTTTACAGACATTAATTTCATGCACTTTCATGCTTCGGTTTTGGTTGTTGCCCTCTGGTTGCGCATTTGCGCATTTGAATAATAGAGAGCAGAAGGAAAAATGGACTTTTGAGACCAGAGTCATAGAGAAGACTGTGAATTCGCATCAATTGTAGGTTAGACGAATAATGAGTTAATGAGCACGAGCGTCACTGTTTGCCATATCACTTAGTGCCTCCAACCGCCGATTACGACGATCCCGGGATCACCATCCAGGAAGCCTAACGGCGGCTTATGTGAGTAAGTCTCCTGGTCAGAGTTTTCTTACCCCCATGCTAGGTTTTAGCTTGACTACCCTATCGATCACCTACAGTCTAGACCGGAAGAGAAATAGAGGCAGCTATGTAGCTCTCCGCATGTGTCAAGCAGTTCGGAGACTTACAACATCAATTGTGACCCACCTAGTATGACAGAAGTTATCAATGCAGTTCATTCTCTGAAAAGAATGTAGCTAGCTTATTTAAAAATTTTGATTCATCTGGTATGAGACAAGCGTGACCAGTATGACTTTTTTCATTTTTCATTCCTTTCATTGAGTTCATAATGATACAACTTTCAGGAAGGGAGAGTCGGTCAATCAAAGGGCTGGTGAGGAAATTCAGGTGGTAATGGCGGGATTCGAACACACGTCCTCCGGGGTGACAAGTTGGTGACGTGACTAGCGGGTCATCACCGCCCGGTTGTTCAACCGTTTCGGTTATCATCAAGAATGCGCATTTATTAACTCAACTGATGATCGAGCGGGATATTAGGGGGTGTAGTACAAGCCTACTTCCCATTTGACCACTACCTGGCTGCAGGGGTCAGACCGCTTCACCTTATTTATTCACCGTATATCGCCCCGAATCTTTCTAATCTGATTGTGAGTTAAGTATAAAGCTACTCATCCGACCACGAATGCCCCGACCTCTTAAATGCGTGAGTTAAATGCTCCGAGACTCAAACTTTCGAACTAGCCATTCCGAAACACAGACACATAAAGAAATAACTAATGAACTGCTTCGAACAGCAAAGTCCGCAAAACCTACACCCCAATCAGAGATTTGTGATAGTGATAGTAATACATCCCCGTGGTTCGGGTATGAGAATGACTGGATATGAACGAATTCGCGATGCGTACGTACGTGATAAGTGGCAATCCATATGAAACCAGTTACGTGCACGCGGGCAAATTTTCCCCAATCAATAAACTCCTTTCCCCCTCTGTTTTTTGCTTAGCGGTGAGGTCAAACCAGGCAAGCGTGAACTTTGCATGCCTCAGTCAACCTCAAACATGACAGCCAGCATGCAAACCGATTGATCTGCGGGGGCGGGGGGTAAAAAACAGCCTAAAAACCACTTTGATTTCTCAAATGAAATTGATAGCCAAAGAAATTGTTCAAATATTCATTCATATGCCACCTCTGTAAGTTGGACTGCTGACCAGTTTTGTATACGAAATTTGGTCATTTTGCTATGAACACCTCACGAATGAACTACACGAATGCATGCCTGTGATTCGTTTCCATATTGATTATCTGGTGTAAGACTTAGCGACAGTTCTTTTTTTGCCTTGCATATGTGGTTCTGACAAGGCGAACAATTCTGTGGCACATGTGGAGCTTGCAAAGCAAAAACCGAGCTGTGGACTTTTCTCAATCCACGGGAATGTTTAATCGCAGTCTACTGTCAAGATTCTCGCTCACCTCACTTCCATCGCTTTTTATCGATCATGCATGACCTCGTGTCTATCCTCGCTTTACGGCCAATCATCGGGGATTGGGGTTTTGCAATTCTCTGGCTCAACCGTTGTCGCTCGGGTATAAACTGCGTAACAATTCGGTTCATTTATGCTAAAAGTAGACGTGCATGGTTGTGTTCTTGGGTTTTTTGTTGTTGTTTGCGAAGCGTCGTGCGCTTTGTTTCCGTCAACCGACCGGATCTCAGCAGGTGAACCACAACGATACCGGATTGGACTCCGTGTCGGCTCGTTTACAAATCATATGTGCATGTGGGTGAAGTCGTGGGTTTCAAATAGGAAAACGGACGATCACACTCGAATGGAGTCGAATAAGGGAACTTGTCCGAATCAGGAGGGTTGTGAAAATGGATAAATCTCGAAATCTGGTTCATCGACGGAGCGTAGAATAGAATCAGAATCCACTTGGACCTTAACACCGTTATGTTATGTTCAAAATAGGCGCGTTCCATTTTGTACTGCTCATAGATTGGTTGAGCATGGTCCAATCAGAAAGGAGGTTTGAGTTGGACGGTTCTTCGCTCGGTACAGTCAGACGGACATGCGGAAAGATAGGCAAAATGAGTCTGAACTGACCAGCTGAGAACCATCTATTAGACTTTTTACCATACATCCCATGAATGTTGTACAAAAATACCTGTATAAGGTCTATATTGTTGTTGTTACTGATGATGTTGTTGTTGTTGTTATTGTGGAAGCTCGGCAATATTTACCTATTGTTCATTTGTTCTTTGATTTGCTACTAACCGACAAAAACATCCATCCAAATCATCATCTCACACTAACAATACACTTTCATAGGCGTGATTTCTCAAAGCCAGATCAAGCTGAATTGTGCCAAAGGCTTGTGGCAATGTCCCAAGCCATACAGAAAAACGTTCTCCATTGAACTAACATTCGTAATGTGTACCTTGTTGTTTGGCAGATTAAAGTTTTATGCTGAGATTGTGAAAAGTTCAGTAGCCTCGGTGGGATCAAAACCCATCATTCGTGGATACTGCCTACTATTTTTGTAAAGCGCAAGCTCTACTAGCTGAGCTACCAGGCCACATCGTTGGCACTGATCTTTTCACATTCGAATTTACTCGTCCAACTTACAGAGACATGTGGCATCTACCAGTTAGCATGTAAGCTGATTGCCCCAGCAGGTTTTCCTTTGAATTCACCGGAGTCCAACGAAGAAACTTCTAAGGCGTGGCTTCGAATCCCACCGAGGCTACTGAACTTTTCACAATCTCAACACAGAACATTCTCTAATGTTTGAGAAATGGAGAGCAGCAGTATTCTCGATTCACTTAGTAGATTATATGTGATTAAATCACGGTTTTTAACGCAGTAAGTACATCGGCTCAAGTTTTTTCACATCTGACTCTTTATCACATTTAGCATCAACCAACCTGAAATTCAAAGGATCACCGTCCTTAATAATGTGTGAGGATTGCTTTTAGAAGAGGGAAGTACTATGCTATTTATCATTCCCTCTGCAACATTTGTGATGCTCACTCAAACCATGTGACTCTACGACTTATTACAATCGGTATACATCAACAATGCAATATGCCTAACGGTACAAGATAGTCCGTACACTTCAAATAGGAACGAATTAAAACAGTTAGAAGTACCTGATGTCCACGAAACGGAAATGATTGACTTTTATGAAAAATCATTTGTTTTGCTCGAAAACCGCGTACATTTAACAAATGTTCTTTTTTGCGACCCAAATCTTTGTTTCTCCCTCAATTGACCTCGCAATTTTTCCCATCTGTCTGCAAAAATGTGATCCCTTGTTAAACAAATTTGTTGTGAACAAAAATTAGCACAGTTGTGGGACAAACAGTTTTCTCGTGCGAAAATGATATCGGTTCCACATTCTTTTTTCTCTGCTCTCCTGAGGTTTGCACGAAACTATCCAGAGCCATGCAATGAGTAAAACTACCCACCGATCTTCGATTTCGCGCGTTCTATCCTTAACAGTGGCTGAACTATTCGGGAAATTATCACATCAAAGGATTTGTGAAAGGGTTTTCAAATTATGCGAGTCTTTTTTCCGCAAAGCAATACACACTAGCTATTTTGTATAGCATCTTATGGAATGTAAAGTTTCGTAAATTGACCGTTGGTCAAGTCCTTTCTTTAATCGTTTTGATTCCTTTCCATGGAATTCAGTGAAATCATCAACCTTTACCGAGTAGGTAGGCTGCATTCAATCAGGCCTCGACTGACTGTGGATGCGCACAGTAGGGGAAGTTGGGTGGCAATAGCGCGATCCAAACTCTACACCTCTGGGATGTTAATGTGAAACAGTCCTTGACACTGATTGCCAGCACCTAAAAAACAACTCTTAGTAATCCCTTTGAGTACTTTTATTTATACAAGAAAAGTGAGTTTAATAACAGTCTTTATAGTAGTTGTTGAAGGTAGGTCCTGAACAGTTGGCTGCTGTCTGAAGGCTGGATCTATGGATAATGGGCTGACGAATACCGCGAAATTCTCATCATTTAGCTTGGAAAAATTCTCTCGATTTTATTCTGATTTAAGTAATCTTATTAAATAAATTCCTCCTATTGTAACCAAATGTACACTAGTCTACTAACTAATACACTACCATTCCAGTGCCCCTCGTGAATATATCCGATCGTTTCGATGGTTAATCCGGCTTGGAAGAGGCTATTCACTCTAACGGATATCCAAACTCCTAGTGCATCCAAATTGGATAATAATCTGACAAAAAACGTTAGGACATATTGGTTCAAGTTATGACAAATAGACAAACATCTATCTATCTATCTATCTATCTATCACGGTCTACCGACCTGTATCAAATTTGGAGTACCGTATGTTTTTTATCACTCAGACCAACTAAAATGGACCGAGATGTCTCCACAAATGACAATCAAACCTGATGCGTACTCTGTTTTGATAGTTTATTTATACAAAATTATCTGTGACCAAATAACTAACCGACCATCACTGAAGACGAGATCTAAACAGGACTGAACTGGCAGCTTCGGTCAGTGGTAACAAACACGCACCTTCCATTTGCGCTCGGTCCGAAGTTCAAGAGCCCAGCGAGCGGATGGGATGGTGGATATACACTACTGACGAACTCTACCCAATGAGAGCGAAGTTCGGGTCTATAGTGCTTTCCAAGTATACAGTTGAGTGGATAAACTGCGGACTGTACGTGAAGATGGTCAGTTCAAGTGGACAAAATCAGATGAAATCGAATGAATGAATATATCAGTTATCAAAGTCAAACGAGGTCCATGGATGGAACGGATCTCACTGAAAAACTTGGGAGTCGTGCTCATGATTATTGAGGAAAAACCAAAGCACAACGCCTTGTGTTTTGCTTTTTTATTCGTTGTGGCTAAGACACGCGAATTTCCTCAGTTACCAACCTTTTATCTGCAGTTGCGTAACGAGCTCCACCGGTGACTGAAACCAACCAACATTAATGTCGTCCCATTCTAGACCCGAAGGAGACCCTATCCTTCCTATCTTCAGCTTTTCCCTCTCGATCGTTGCTAACAAGTTCCAAATGAATCAGTTTATTTTAATTTAACGTAACTAACAACAATAACTGGATCAGCAGAAAAATAGTTCCGTGAATTAAATCATGACTTCTCTCAATCCTGTGTTCGTCACTTAAAGTCCTTCTAAACGAGAGAGGTGTAAAAATCACACAATATGTTTACAGTATGGAAAAATTTACAACCCTATTTGGTAAGTATAACAGATAAAAATGAATAAATAAACAGTTTCACTTCTTCTTTTTTGTTTTATTGAGTATACAAATGTACAGTTCCACATTTCGCACTCAGACCGCTTGACCATAACCTATTAATACTTCACATACATATTTATTCAAATCAAAAAATTAGGTATTTCCAATGCCTGGTAATCGTGATTAAATGGCATGTTTTCTTTTGACGCACTTTTGCAACTCCATATATTTCTATATTTGTGAGTAGTCTACTGATGAGTAGTACCTTCATAAATGATCATATTACATATCTCTCTAAATTTTCAGTTTGAAGCCTTATCCCACTACACACATTATTTGATTCATCTGGAAAATATGATCAAAGGAATTCAAGCACTTCCGGGTTTTGAAACAGATGGTCAGTTTCCCTTGACTCCACCTGTATCGTCCAATGGGGATTTCGTTGGTGCGGATGCGACAGCAAATGAATCAAACATTTTATGGAGTCAACGAACCAGTATCTCATTCCGTTATTTGCTTGAGCTGGCCGATTTGCCACGTATTCGACTGGTCGCATATCGTGGACTGCTCAGGGATTTGGCTCGCTACACAGCACGTGCGGAATCGGACACACAAGACTTGGAGCAGGCAATGATTTGCGTCTCTCAACTGTCCAGGCGGGCTGAAGAAGGTGTGAAGTTGTGGCAACTAATCGACTCGACGGGCGGACCACACGACCGATTCAAAGAGCTGTTTTATAACGCCCAAACGGATACAATTCTACCTCCTGCATTGATTCGCTTAGTACGTCTTATCATGGATATTTTTTATCCTGTTCCATCTACTATTAGTAGGAAGTGACACCTGCATGTCAGGGTACCGGCTTGGCACATGCTCCTTTGGATCCAACAGAATAGCCCAGATTCCTCAAATCCTTATTATTCTGGATGGATTACAAATATAATCCGTGTATTCAATGATTTCCTCCAACAGAAAAATATTTATTAGTTTTTAGTAATGCCATTTATGAAATACACATTGTTCAAATTGTTATTTGGCAGATTTGAAGTTTGTATATCAATTGTTCAGTAGCCTCGGTGGGATTTGAACCCACGCATGGACGCCGCCCACGCTTTTGTAAGCATTGTCCTATATCAGCATATCTCAGTTTACCGTTGTTACGGACTGCACAAGCACTGATGATGTCACCTCAGCTGGTGACGATGAAACGTTTGCAAATAAATTGTTAAGCTCACAGGCGCACACAGGCGAAAAAGAATTGAGTTAACCCGAGCTACGAGAACCGATTTTCAATACTTATCTATGGATTTCTGTCCAGGATGTTTCATCCCGTTTGAATGGTGTCGGTATGTTTGCTATAGGATTGTAGTGACTCATTTGGTAACTGGTAAACGTGTCCCCAATACAGAGTACAATATTGCTA